ATTGTTGAACACGCATGCTGTAATGACTTGTTATAATTGATTTGCATACTTTGATATTAGCAAGAAATGCTTATTCGGTATAACTGTCGCCACCACGTTGCTAACGATAATAAGTTCGGTGGGTCAGTGGGTCGGTATGTCGGTATGGTATTAATGACGGGCAAAATTTTTTGTATTACATCGTAACAGTGTGGGAAGGCTTTTTTTTTTTTCACTGATCATCTGTACCATCTACTATAATGATACCCGAATAAGATATTCGATGGCTTGCGCTGCTGTTTAATGACAGATTTGTTCGATATCTTTTCTCTAAACGTCGAATTGTGTTATCGATATGCAGAATATGCCGTACCATTAAAAAAAAGTCTATAACTTTTGTGCATATGCTCGAGTGTCTATACGAGTCTAGGTATACCGACAAAGAAATCGAATAATTATTTATGGATTGGCCAACTCTTATTCAAATGAGACTACCGATAGATAATGAATTCATTATACGAGATTTGCGTTACGCCGAATTGGAAGTAAAGGGGAAAATGCCGTTTGCTGGGAACCAACATATATAATGACATAAAGTACTCAGATTCTGCACAAAGCAAACGTAAAACCTATCAACAAACGTAAACTTTGACACATATCTTATTAATATTATATATTATTACGGCTTACTCAATTCTTGCCGAGTTAAAAAGAAATATCAAGCTCTGTTGTGCTTATTATTTACAGACCAGCTCAATATGACATATAATAATTTATCTGCTGGTCTCTTCGACAATGTTTCGTCGTTCAGTACGTCATACTTGAATGGACACTATCACATGTACCTGGCTCCTAACGTCTGGTCTTTTAACGTTAATACGTTCAAATGTAAATTAATGCCGTCATTTTACATGTACCCGCCTCCTAAGCAAGTGCCTTTTCATTACAGTTATTCCTGTGATACGAAACACGATAATATGCTTTTTCTCGAAAGATTGGTCTTACGTTCGGCTTCATTGAAAAGAAAAAGCAGATAAAGAATAAAAAAAGGGGGAAGTATAAAAAGGGAGAATAACAAAACGGTAAAGAAAAAACAAGAAGAAAGAGTAGAAACTGGAAGGGAAATAAATTATAACCAAATGAGATAAACGTTAATTACGCAGCATTATTTATTAAAAAAAAAAGATAAACTTAAAGAATAAGAAAAACAAAGGATAGTAAATAGATAAAAAAGAAGAAGAAAAAAGTAATAATAGAAAAGACAGAAGAGGTGAAGAACAAAAGGATAAATTCAAACATATGTAAATAGTTAGCATGAAAAAGTTGAAAAGACGATTTAAGGAAAAAGGAGCGCTGACTTTTACGACTTCTCGGTATAATATCAAAAATGCAAAATATCTGATGACACTGACGATGATACTATCTACAAGTTATAGTTATAAATACAGGTATGTAATCGAGAGCGTATTATACAGACAAGCATAAATGTTAATTACGCAATTCAGTAAAGGTATAATACACACTCTAATATCCACCTCACGGGACGACCAATTTCGTTGATATATGCGGGGGTGGATATCATAAGGGGAGTGGAGGTTAGGAAACACTCACAATTCGTATATCTCTCGAATTGGGTACTACCGCTTTAAATTTTATTCATAATAAAAGCATTTTGCAAAGATAAACTAATCAATTCGTTCGTTTGGCATTTTTTTGCCTTGATTTCATAGACAAGTACATTTACTTCTTCCGCGGTGGACGCTCTGATTTCCTTATTCATAGCTCCTTTCACCCTATCTAGTGTGAATTTTTAAAAAAAGCGCAGATTTTATGCAAATTAAATATTTATACATATAAGAGTAATTCAGCGTAATAAAAATCTGAATATATTGGTGGCTGTGAAACGTATTAAATAATAGATAAGTGATGTTGCAGATCAGAAGTAAGTTTAATTTAAAATAACAATTTATATTAATACGAGGTATCAAGGGTATGATATCAAATTTGATATATGCGGGTAAATTTATATATAATATAGTTTGACTAGTCACATTACTCACTATGACATAAACTTATACCGCGCATACATTAAATTACTGTGCCATTAATAGAAAATTATGATAATAGTTTGTATTCCATGTTAACGCTTTACAGAGAGGTTTGGAAAATGCTGTAATTTAAATTCCAATTTTCTTTAAAGAACTTTTTTTTAAGCTATGCATTATGTCTTATAACGGCTCTAGATTTGACTTGTTCTCGCTCTGATTGTGTATAGTGCCAAATTTGAAATGCTCAAAAATAGGAGTTTGCTGACTATATTATATTTTCTTTATCGGTAATAACATCAGAACAACGTTATGAACAGAAGCGTGGATACCACGGAATAATTGGTTAGACGCAATGGCTGTGTATCAAACTAACTTCGAGTTATGCTGCATGTTTTACGAATACGCAGGTTTCATGCATTGACCTTCGACGTAGAATTTCCAAGATACCCGTATTGTCTGCCTTTTGTTAGATGTGAACAAATCCATACTAATTAGTTATACGATTGTATACTGAGCTAATCCTAAAACGAATTAACGCAGATGATAACATTGCCAAGACAATAACAATGGAAATGTTTGGAACACAAAATTTTTCGTAATGGTAAGGTTGTTTCCAGAACTCGCTCTTCTTCGTGAATCATGTACCGTATGACTTTTAAATGAATGCACTTTCTACATCAATCAATAATCGGGTATCCGTGCTGACAGTTTCGATTAATTCGCTTATATTTGATGTCTTTGTTACAAGATAAACGGTATTGGTTTTATTGTTGAGCTGCATGAATCTCTTAATCACATGTAAGTGATCATCATCAATTGATTATCACTAATACTAACCTGACGTGGCGTAATCGTTTCGTCATATCACTATCATCATGCACAAAACCGATTGGCATCGATATAACTTTATATTTACGTAACGTTGTACCGATTAAGATTTGTCCAACCATCGTTACATCAGCAACTCCCTGAAATTGACGCATGAGATCATTTGACTTCACTCTGTACCGTGCAATTGGAAACGCTTGACAACACAACTTGCTTTTTCTCATTTATACAATGCTCAGTAATTACAAAGTTTGTCGAAAAACAAAATGTCCAACGACAATATGCCCTGTCAACGAAACCGTACGCAATTATTAACAAGCCGGAAACAAATGTAAGTCTTAGCAGACTATAGCCTTTATATTTGCCTTGTCGCATTTACTGTCACAACAAACAGTAAGATTTTTAAACACAAACTATTTTTACAAACATCATAGACCGAGTACAAAAACGACAAGGCTGACTATATCAAGGCCTGCTGCAACAGGACGCAATTTGGCATTCTCTTTCTTTCCTAGCAGTCCAATGCCTCCCCGTAAGTTTCCTCTGAGTTAATGTCGATGCCCGAGTATATCGTTTACAGTAAGCCTGTTATCGGCAACGGTTACCGTTTGCGCGACTCTAGGGGCATAGACTTTAAGTCGCTGCTTATGCAAACGTTTTCCAATCTTTTAATCGTCTTTTTTCTCTCTGTGTTTAGTGTAGAATGATATATTTACATATCATGGTCTTGGAATTAAAATCGCACAGGACATGATATACTCGGAAATTTTTAAGACGGAAAGAGCGCCATTTTCACAGCAGTGGCTGTTTTCGGTGACTAAAATTTAAACATTGCCTTCGAAGACTACCAACATACTCGGTCAATACTTCTCCAATGCCCCAGATCACTCTTAAAAACGATGATCTGTTTAAAATTTTTTGACATGTGAGTGGAATCGTTATGGCTTGAGGATAACCCTGTTGAAGGCGGGCTGGAGAAAGACAAATTTATGGGACAGGATTGAGTATTAGTCGGCCGGGCATATTGGGATAATTATATTAATTATTGTGACGTATACGAATGGCACATTGCTATTATAAAATAAATTTATGAGAATGAGAAGCAATTTCAATCTTCAAGTGGCACCATTTATTGAGTCAAATACTAATGGGAAATATGTCGTTGAATGCAACTCCTTTCGTGCGTTCTCCAATTGCCTCAAGTCGAGTACGTTATTACGTATTAACCTTGTATTGATTGTTTCACAAATAATGATCACCGTTTATTCCCACAGACTCGCGCGCCCTAATGTGTCGCATTATTATTCTCACTAAGAAACTGCGTGCGTAAAGATCAAGAAGGAATAACTATTATAAAATAAGAATTGAGACCCGTCCATTCGCATTGGATCAAGCAATATGTAAAATCAAACTTGTATAAGTCGACATCTTCCAGGAAGTGACAGAGATCTACGAACAATGTGCTGAACATGGTGAGCGAGCTCGCCTGTCCGTTTGAATGAGCTTGATCCCGTCCGGCATTGCAAATTTATCGCAGAAATTTGGTGTTTGGTATTAATATATGACGTCGAATTGACCTACGAACAATTCAACCAAAAAGATACGGCAGCCTGTCGGCACATTAGACTGGGGAAACCTGTAAAGAGTTGATTCTGATGGAATCGACGAGGCACGGATTCAATTCATTACGCTCGCCACACACGACATCATATCACTGCCGAACAGTTTGACATGGATTTAGCAGCTTGTCTGCATGCGGTAAATGTAATGTATACATGCATTGAATTGGCAGTTTTTTCTTGAAACGACACGAAGAATGATTGTGATGATGATAACACGATCACTGGCCTTGTTTATTCTAGTCATGTTCAGTTGCGGAGACCTGTGTCTCGTATAAATATCGATCTGGCGCATGTCTGCGTGGACATTGAGAAAATTGATATTATCAAGACTTTAACTGGTATTTATTAGCAAGTTGATTTCAAATATCAGTTGTTATTATTATTAACTATTCATTACGTTAATATTGTAGTTAGAGCGTAAAGACAAGTCAGTTACAAAGGGTTATTGTCGAATACTTTAGGCCTTGAAAGTAGTAGCTGCTGAAGCAACCGTGAAGATAGTGCAGTTACGGGATCAAACCTTATGCGCGCTCCCACGCGTTCTCCAAAAGCTTTGCATTTGCCTTTTATTTCTCAAGCTTGCTATCAATGGCTTCGACAATCTTCAAAGGTGCGTCGGTGGATATCGTCATTGCTTAGTAAGTGGAAGCTAACGGGCTGGACGCGGTATATTTGTTTGCGAAGAATGATGCCATGGAGAATGTTGAGAAAAAAAGTTCGAACGCCATTACAGAATCCGATGGCTCTACCGGTGAAGAAAAAGATAAATTCGAGAATATGAAAATTTATTGAATTGCTCCAACAGTTATTATGTCTGACGCTGACTGTACCCTTCGACCTTGTGACAACTAGGATGGAGGATTGAGCAGCTTACGTGTGGAATGATGTAATTCAAGGGTTGAATAAGAACTTTCGATAGGCCAAGATTAAGAGGGGGTGAAGATTGGGGTTTAAGAAGCTCGGGAGCATAGAGAAGGAAATTTCACAGTTGAATGAAATTTTAACGAGGAATCCGATATGCGTTCTGCCTCAGCCTAGAAAGCGTAGATGTGGGAGAAGAGAACGTAGTTTTACCACAATTGGCAAAATTTAACGGCAGTACTGGCCCGGCTCGTTCAGCACTCACACCAAGCAGTAAGAAGCATGAAGGTTGTTAAAGACCTGATTGAGGATGAGATGCTGAGAGTGTTAGTTTTATTTCTGTCCCCACGTTCTTCACCCATGGACTTTTTTAAAGATTTCGTCATCCAGACAAATACACAAATTTCTATTGTTTTTGATCGCTCCCCTTCTCTTTGCAGTTGGAAAGACTAAGAGCGTGGTGCAATTGTAGATCGTTGGAGCGGCAGTGGTTAAATTGCTATGAGACTGGTATTGAAGTCGATCAAATAAAAATGTACGTATATAAGAACAATTTGTACAATTCAGAAAGAGAACTGAACTGTGATTGTGCGGTCAAGTAAATATCCAGCCCGGCCGTTCATACCAAGTATGTGTGATATGGGAAAGACGGAAAGTGTCGTCTATATAAAGGACTACCGTAAAATGGATCAGACTGACGGGATCTAGCGACAGTCGGACATGGAAACTCAGACATGAAGCTTACCATCAACAAGAATGTAAGAAATCAGATCCAGTATGAGACATGGCGAATTATCCCCAACCATCCATCTACTATTCAAATCACCCGTGATGTTAAAATTCATAGTCGTTTCCGCAACCTTCGACGTCATTTCGCCAACCGTGTGCATGGATTCTACGAACCCTAGTATCGTCATAAAATATAATAGAACAGTGATTACCTTGAAAGAATCAAATCACAGCGTCTTTCCGATTATATGGTTTATAAACATTATGTGCATGGCATAAACTGGTATCACGTGATTAGTTAACCTATTATCTGTAATATGAATATTATGCGTGGTTGTTTATGCAAATTGCAGGATACTTTATTATATTACGCATCTTTCTGACGTCTCTGTTCTAAGAATGATACATACAGTGTATCACGCAGTCATAATTTGAAATGTCTAATGTTTGACACACTATAACCATTCATGCTGCGTGTTACGCCTTCGAATCGTTCGCGCGCTAAATTACATGTCTGTATTTATATCTTTATCTTCTTTCTTCAAACCATCTTTCACACCTTTTTTATTCTAACTTTTTCTTCCTGTTCACATAACTTCTTCTTCTTCTCTGAAGTTTTTTATCTTCTTAATTTTTTTTGTTTTATCTATTTCTTGTTTTTTTCTTAATTAAACATTTTAATAAAACCCGAACGTAAGACCACCCCTTCCGAAAAAGCATATTTGTTTCGTTTTGCGCCACAGGGGGCAGTCGATGATGAAAAGGTGACCTGTTTAGAAAGATTGGACTGGTGGGTTCCGGTATACTGAACCGAAGAAATGTTATTTGTAGTTGGGAAAACCGGTGAATAGATATTTTAATATTCATATTGTGAATAGGCGCTGGCATCTCTTCTTAACTTAGCAAGAAGTTGACTGAGATGTGAGAAGACATATGTGTCTCTTACAATTTGATTTGGCGTCACCAAAATCGTGTATAATGAATTCGGATATACGTGTACAACTATTATTATTATATTGTTCCTTGTTGTTGTTGTTGTTGTTGTTTTAGTTATTCGATGCGATAGACCATCTAAATAGTTTTTCAACTTTCTCGTTAGTGCCAAAACCTGTGCTGCTTGTTCGAGCATAAGACTTTGATGTCTTCATTATAGTCAATAATTTCGGCACATTTTCTGAATTTGTAGTATTCAGCGTATTGATATTGAATGACATTATACTGTAATCCAAAATTCGGAAAAGATGCTGGTTATTAAGCAAAAGCGAAAGTTATATCTGGTAATACAATTCTATCAGCGAATTCAACTAAGTTTGAAACAAAGTTTATTATTATCACGCACTTTATTAAAGGACATCAGTGTCACATGTCCGAATGGAAAATGGGATGCCGCAGTTCGATTCACATGAAAACTCGGAATGGACAAACGAATCAACAAAATTCTTAAATATGAAAAAGACTCGGTTTCTGCGCCGCCGCAAAAGGGAATGTAGAACATTCTTTTCCCCCACTTTCCCCCAAAAAGACAGTAGTCTAAAAGTAAGTATTGAACAAGTGCGTTCGTGTTTGTAGCTGTCAACAGTTATTCAATTATCACCCTTTTTCCCCCCGCAGGACTTCCGTGCTTTGGCAACTGCTTTTATACTTGCCATCACTAGCTCAGCAGGCTTGGAAAAGAAAAAAGTGGATTTTACATCAACAAATAAATAAAATACAACAAACGCTTAACGGGATCGTTCTGTCATCCCTCGCTATCCACTCCACCTTGAGACACCAAACGTTAACGGATCGTCTCGCTCCACTTGAGGCAACACTTAACAGGATCGTGTTGGCCATTATCACCGAGCATTTTTTCACTGTGCTCCCATTTTGAGAGACACAAACACTTGACGGGGATTGCCCATTCCACTTTGAGACATACCATTGTCTCATTGTCATTCTCACTCACTTTTACCTCCCGATTGGACAATGGATAGAATATTCTCTATTGACCAACGTACTCCTCACCATTACTTTCACACATCCATTCCACTTTGATACATTCGTCGCCTTTTTGAAAAAAAATTATTACATCAACTTTTATAATTGATGTAATTAAGCCTTCTGTTCTTTTTTTTACAATAATAATAACAGTTACGTTTGCTTAGACACACTTTGAAACCCATTCCACTTTGATACATACGTTGTCTTCTTGAAAACAGATATTACATTAACTTTTTATTTTATAATTTTCAAGATCCATTCCACTTTGACACATATGTTGTCTTTGTGAAAAAATTTACGTTAATTTTCAAAATCCATTCCACTTTGACACGTAATTGTCTTTGTGAAAAGATTACATTAACATTTATAATTTTCAAAATCCATTCCACTTTGACACATATGTTGTCTTTGTGGAAAAAATTACAGTGCTATGTTTATGTTTATGTTTTTCACAGTGCTGTATTAGTATTAGTAGAACGTGACTAAAATTAATTAGGTTTTTGTTCACAAAAGTCTTGGTTACAGGACATACTGGTGGCAAAGTTGTTGTATTAAAAAGAACCAATTAACATAAGTCACAAATGTTGTTAGCACACTCAAGATAGAGAAAAGTTTTGTCACCAAGTTTTTATTGTATTTGATAATTTAAATATTTGATCCTATTGTAACTGTGCTTAATAAAGGACACACAAAATCAAAGTAATTTATCATTATCAACATCTGTGCAGTGTTTCATATAATTCAGCAAACTCTAAAAAGACTCCTCATCATAATAGTCCTATCACAACTGGTTGTCAAATTTTCAACTTCTTTCGTATTGAAAGGTAAGAAAAAGGATGGTCTGCATTTTTTTCGAAACGTTATGAAATGGTTGATCAAACTCAGCACCCTACATTCATCTTCAAAAGAGCTGCTCGCGTTAATATTAAGGAGAAATTATTATATTGAAACGAAATGTCTTATTATTATACTGTGTGTTTGTGTGGTGCAAAGAATGTGTCTTTTACCTGCACAATGTAGTATGTGAAAAAAAAAGATTGACATTTCTTATGATAATAAAAACTTCCTGTCCACATATCTGATATCCACCAATTTTAGTACAAAATGCATTGTCGTTTACTGGTTCAATTTTATTTTTATTTTTTTTTTGCGCTTTTCAGTTTTTTTCGGAGCAAAGCAGATGCTTGTTTCCGAATTGACTAGTCTTCATATACGTGCAGACTGTTACCATGTCATAAACCGCAAGAAAAGATCACGTTGGAACGCTGATGTGAAAATAGTCGAAAAAATATAGCAAATGGACAATACAGATTGGGAAAATAGCGAGCAAATTGCAGGCTCACGTGTATTGCAGTTTGTTATATCAATTTTAAGTCGATGTTTAAAACGAAATTGGAAAAAAGAGATGTCGCAAAATTTGAAAGATGATAGTAAAGGAGCAGAATAATATTCATTACGTGACTGTAAGCAATTTAAATGAAATTGCTGACAAGTTATTTAAAAGTAATAGTAATGGAAAAATAAAATTTGCGCGAAATTGTGTTCGTCAACTCACGTGCCATCCACCATGTTTACATAACGATAATAATAAGTAAATCGGATAATCTCTCTGCCCTCTCGATAAGTCGGGCATACAAACGGCTTTGACCACCCCCCACGCAAAGGAGAAGTTGTCGGTAGGTTCGTCAACTGTGATATTGTTACAATTAAGGAAGTGAAATATGCCATGTTAATGCTTTGACGTAATAAATATATGTTATTCGAAAGGGGAAGGTCGTCAGCTATTGCTATTAGCGTTTAGCGATGAAAGTTTGAGAAAATAACGGGTCTCAGACGTTCTGGACCGCACGCGCTACACTGAAGAAGTCAGTAGCGTATTATTAATAACGACATAACAATTCAATTATGCCATTCACAACAACACCAATAGCTGCCCACACGGGTCACTATCACCCGCCAGCTAGACGCTGCCACATACAAAGAGACACTGCTGCTGTTGCTGCCACATACGACACAATGAAATACTTAGGCTTTAACAATCTATTCATTCATAATTAAGGAATATTATACTTACTTTATGATGGGTACAGTTAATATATAATTACTGCTACACTTATTGCGATCATGGAAGATTCAGGCATTCCAATTGCTAACGCTGTAATACTCGGATCAGATTGACTATCGATCGACCAAAAAAGACCGACGCGTAATAACTAGAAAGAGTGTCTATTTATCTCAATTGGAATGTACGTTCGAAACTAACGGACCGTTTGAGAATCGAGTTCTGCTCGATGAATAGGAAGTGATAAAATTAGACGTTATCAGGTACAAGACCAGGAGTAAATACAATAATGGTCGAACTTGGTCCAGCGTCCCAATGAACATTACTGATGGGCGGCATTAAAGCGTACTTACTAGACGATGGGTATGCAAATAATAGGAATAGGCTTAAGAGTTCCATTACTTGATTTTTATTCTGTACGGTAGCTTAGAATGTGATAATAAAGTTGCTGAAATTAATCATGTGAAACTTGAAATTCAATAAAATTTTGACGTCAGTAACAATAAATTAAACGTTCTTTTTCAA